GGAGAGGTTATTTCTTGGAGAGGGACATCATGCTTAGGGAAAGTGGTGGGATGACAAAGGAGAAAGAGAACGTCAACCAGGTAGACTGACAGAGTGACTGCAGCAAAGGGCTTGAGTATAAGGATGGCACAGGACAGGACAGGGTTCAGATCTGGTATTCACAGGGTCGCTCTGAAGTCGTATTCGACTTGATTGCCCCTAACAATAACAAAATACTTTGGGCATGTTTTTAGGAGACACTGGAGAAGGACATCAAGCTTAGAAAGGCTGACAGAGAACCTCTAACAGTGGGTTCAAGTGTGTTGGACATGGTGAGAACGGCACAGGACAGGGCAGGTTTCACATCCATTGTTCACAGGGTCTTTAGGAGTCACGTCTCCGATCCGTCTGGAAATTGTTAGCTTAACCTTGGAGACACATCTAGGGCTGCACCAGGCTGCACAATGAAATGATACCCAAGGGGAGCTCTGGTGGCCTAGTAGCAAGAAGCTGCACTGCAATCCCAGAGGTGAGCAGTTTGAATCCACCAGATGCTCTGCTGGAGATTGAGAGAGAATCTCCTCCTGGACCAGTCAGATCTGATTTGACGGTACACGCACACACACAAATAATAAAATTTAAAAAAAATTTAAAAAAAAAATGAAATGATACCCAAGTCTAAGTCTCCCCTCACCTGGAGCGATACTTCTGCGGTTATGCAGAACGACAATTCTCCACATGCACATCGTAATCCCTGAATTGTGAAAATACGCTATCTTATAGGGCTTTGAGGGTAGGATTAAGTTAAGGATCTTGAGGTGGGAAGATGATCCTGGACTAGTCAGGTGAGCACAAGGTAACCACGCAGATCATCCCAGGCGGGAGGCAGGAATGTTAGAGAAACGAGAAGATACCCAGCCGATGGCTATGAGGCTGAAAGAAGGGATCTGGGCCACGGAATGTAGGTGGCTTCCCAGAAGCTGGGGGCCAGGGGGAGGGAACACTCCAAATCCACTGACATTAATTCTGATGTATGTCTGGGTAAACTGCATTCTACAGTTCCATTTTTACTCAGCGCCTTTAATCTTATAAAAGAAGCAACCAGTGAGGGGTGAGAACCGACAGGCTTTCTGTTAGCTGCTGAGCACAACCATTTGTGATACCCGCAGACCTCTTCTCTGAGCTCACCTACAGCCAACAAGTCAAATCCTTTAGGACAGAGCAAAGCCACCAAGGCTCCTTACGCCTTATGACTTGAACTTGACATTTGCTTAAGGAATCGTGGATGACTTTCGTGACTGATGTTGTTAGTTGCCTTCAGGTCAAGTACAGGCCTTAGTAAACCTAAGAACAACAGATCAGATCTCAGGCCTGTCCTTTCCTGTGCCGTCCTTATCATCTCTGACACATTCAAGTCCACTGCTGCAGTCACTGGGTCAGTCCATCTCTATAGGGGTCTTCCTCTCTTTTGCTGACCTTCCAGATGTCCAAGCACGATGACCCTCTCCAACAAACAGTCTCTCCTAGCAACATGTCCAATGGGAAAGTCTGCTGTTAGAGACCTCTCTAAAGTAATCAAGAGCAACGGTGTCTCTCTGGAGACTACGGTGTGCCTGATATAGGCCATGGTCTTTGCAATCGCTTGTTATGAATCAGAGAGTTGGACAATGACTAGGGAGGACAGAAGGAGAGTTGA